CCCGGGGCGCCCCCAGTCCCCCCGCCTCTTCCCCAGCCCCCCCGGCCGGCTGCTGGTGATGCTCAAAGCCTCAACGGCCACTAACTTACAAACTCGCCTGATCCAAACGATTAAAAAAAAAAATAGAATCCTTAAGGATAAATGCGGCAATGTGCTGCTGGGAATGGCTGAGGGCACGAGCCCATGGTCTGCATCCCAGAGCCAACCCAGCCCCAGCGCGAGGCGCGTCTCTCCACGAGCATGTTATTTCCCTGTTATTAGCAGTAATAGATGTGCATCGGTAATGTGAACACAAAAACCATGTGACAGTTATGACAGCTCAAGGTCTGATATTTTAATTACTTTTTTTTGAAATGAAAACAGTAATTCCAGTTAAAAGCCAAGGGTGGAGGAATTCAATCGACGGCTGCAGCAGAGCCGGCGGGTCCATGGCGCCCACCCACCCCCCCGAGGATGGCCGCTGGACCACCGGCTGCATCCTGTGTGTGCACATCGGCTGCCCGAGCTTTACCTATTTTTCCATGTGTCTGTCTGACACGGATTTGGTTTCTCCATCTGCAGCACATGAAATTCCTCCAGTCTTTGCAAGGACCATCTCACAGAAGTGACCTGGCGAGGCAGGTCCCTGCCCCGGCCCAACAAAAATCACTGCAGCAGGTACGGAAAATACAGTAAAGTGGGGAAAAACAGAAGAGAGAGAATGCCATCACCCAGGCAAAGCGCTAAGCAGGACTTCTCCCAGAATCTCTCCTTCTAAACCCAAATACTGGCTGGCCCGCGGGTGCCACCGCGTCCCCAGTGCCCGGCTCAGCCCCACCGCCGGCCGCCCACCCCGCGCTGCCTCTCAGGGGGGAATTTAATTCACTCCCCGCTGGCTCTCTCACTTTGTTGTGCTCTGAAGCACGAAATTACAAGATTTACAGGGGGGGAAAGAAAAAAATAAACGACATGGCCTTACAATTGCACACAGGGGCCTCCCCGCCAGCGCCCCGGAGCCGCCCCCTCCCTCCGTCCATCCCTCCCACCTCCCCACAGTGATTTCCACTGAAGCCTGAATTCAGCCCAGCCTGCAAACGAAGGATGCTCCGGCTGCCAGCGCCCGAGTCCGCAAACCTGTTGCGCGGCTGCACAAGGCAGGTGGAGCCCCGAGAACTGAATTTCGGGATGCAGAGCCCCACGTTATCTGCACTGGTTACCCTCACCCCGCGGGGCAGGAGGAGCAGCCCAGGCACTGGGAGGACAGAGCCTTTCCGTAGGAATGAGCAAAGGAGAACATCACCCACAGCCTCTCCTTAGGGCTGAGGAGACGCGAAAGCAGAAGGAAGAAAGTCTCCCTGCAGGAGTGGATGGGCTTTCACCTCCCAGCTCTGTGAACCGGAGGAAAAATGATTATTTTTTTTTTTTATTTTTAAATTGTATCCTGCTGCATGGCATTATTCAAGAGTCATTAGCACGTTACCCGTAATTAGGAACGAATGGGTTGTGTCAGATTCATCATGCTCCTGGATGGCTCCCTTTGATCAGCAAATTATCCCATTTAAAAAGTTTGTAATGTCTCAGACACTTACGTCAAGACTTGATGCCGTTTGGCTTTGCCCTCCCCAAGAGCAGCAGCAGCAACAGGTTCCGGGGCTGAGAAGGGGATGGTGACCCCAAACTTTGCCGGAGGTGGCCCACAACTACCCCAGGCTACACATCGGCATCTAAAACATCAGTTCAGGGCAACAACCCAAAGCCCCCTACCCTGGCAGAGCCATGCCTGGGGTAGGAAAGCTTTTAACCTGGTGGGATTTTGCTCATTTAATTATTTTAGTTGCTCACTTTTTTTTTTTTTTTCTTCTTTTTTAAGCACTAAAACTAAAGTGCAAAATCTCGGACAAGGTTTCACCAGTTTCTTGGTGCATTTTGCGCTGTTTCTCTCACCAGACAGCACTACAGTTCCACGGCAGAAATAAAACGTAGTCTGCAGCTATCCTGGTTTCTAAACAAGTATTTTTAAAGGCAACCAAAAAACTGAAAAGTCGTTCGGACGAGTTCTTTGCACGTTGGAGGAAAAACCTCCCCTCAGAGGCTCAGCACCTCTGTGCGCTCCACGCCGGCCCTGCGTGACGTTATTCGCAGTGATGCTGCAGAAGTCCGAGCATGAAGAGATGCTGGAAGGTGTGTGCTGGGATGGGGAGGGGGTCAATAAACCCCCCACCCCATGCCTGGGATTAACCCCAGGGGCGGCGAAGGCTCTGTCCCGACAGCACACACCCTGCCAGGACCAGCTCGGAGGCAGCATCTCGTCCTCCAGCGGGGAAGCAGCCCGTTATTCCGGCTTCCACCCAACATACCTGGGGATTACAGAATCAGAGATTCATAGAATGGTTTGGGTTGGAAGGGACCTTAAAGACCACCCAGTGCCACCCCCTGCCCTGGGCAGGGCCACCTCCCCCCAGCCCAGGTTGCTCCAAGCCCCGTCCAACCTGGCCTTGAACACCTCCAGGGATGGGGCAGCCACAGCTTCTCGGGGCAACCTGCGCCGGGGGCTCGCCGCCCGCACAGTCAACAATTTCTTCCTAAAATCTCATCTAAATCTCCCCTCTTTCAATTTGAAGCCATTCCCCCTCGTCCTATCACTACATGCCCTTGTAGAAAGT